TTGCTGCTTTTAATTGTTAGACCCACATGGAATAGACACTTTTTTTCTTTTTTTTTTAATCAAGGAGCAAAATCTGTGAGTGATTTATTATAAAATTATATCATTGAATTATACGTGGGAACAGGCAGACGGCTGGAGAGGTTATTCAAATTCTGTGTGAATCTCTGGAGCTTTTGTTATTCTGCAGGTAAAGATTCAGTGTGGCCTTGCAATTATTTAGAAGAGTGACATTTAGAAATGTCCCCGTCTCATTTTTTGCGTAATGAAGCTTATTTAAGAAAATGTTTAAGATGCATTGTGTCTTTATAGTTACGCACATTTACATCACTGTCATTACTTTTCAGTAGGGCTGCGAATAATGATCTTGATGATTTGAACAAATCCTCTGATTTTTTATTTTTATTTTTTTTAATTGGATTATAAAAATCCTATTTTATTTTCTGTATTGGGAAAATGATATTCTACTTTGAATTGATAATGAAATGAGATGATAATTTGTAATAAAAAGCAGGGCTGCAACAACTAATCAATAATAAATAAAAGAAAATATGTAAACAATACATTTAAATAAAATATAAATAATATATTGTAACATTCAATATAATAAAAAACCATAGTTTATGACTTTTAAGAGCATTAAATGAATTAGAATTAATTATTTCTTATGCAACTAATCAATAATTATGTAACAAAAACATTTACATAATCTAAATATATTGCTATATTTAATATATTTAAAAAATAAAATAAAAAACAATGAAAGATTTGAAGAGCATTAAAATGAACTGGAACTAGCTGTTTATTATACTAAAGCAGTATATAAGTGCTTAATTGTCAATAACAATGTCACATTGCAAAAGAGTCTTAGACTTCATTTCTTTATGCAGTTTTATCTCATTTATTATGACCTGGATATTTCTATTATATTCACCGATAAAGTCTTCATGTGAAGCAGTTTGCTTTTATTCAGTTCATTTCAGACCAGAGTGTATAGATTGAGTTCAGTCATAAAGTTCATGACTCTTTGTAGTCAGACCCAGTGCATCAGCTGCTCACGCTGTGTGTGTGTGTGTGTGTGCGCGCGCGCGGGTGCACGCGTCTGACAGGCCGGAGAGCTGCTGGCTCAGGAGATGGAGGTGGTGAAACATGGGATGAGTCACGGAGATCTGTCTATGGAGGCGTATAACCAGGTGTGGGAGGAGTGTTACAGTCAGGTCCTGTACCTGCCCGGACAGAGCCGCTACACCCGAGCCAATCTGGCCAGCAAGAAGGACAGAATCGAGTCTATAGAGAAGAAACTGGAGGTAATATCATTAACTTCATGATGTGTTCTGCACACTTCCCTTCCGTCCAGTAGATGGCACTGTGTGGCTAATAGAAGGGTATGTTCAGTAATGTTCAGGGTTTTGGTAAAATCACTTGTCTTTTTGCTTTTAAAGTCAAGCTATACATATATGTCTCTATGTATGTGTGTGTGTGTGTGTGTGTGTGTGTGTGTGTGTGTGTGTGTGTGTGTGTGTAT